TAATAAGATCCAGTTACTAAGATAAATAAGTAGTCAAGGACAACCGTTAGATATTTTAATTCACTAGGTAAAATTAAAGTGAAAAATTAGTTTGCTTTGACGGTTAAGGCAATAAGAAAATCTTCTTTGAAGTGCTAAGATTTGCTTTCTAGAGGATGCATGGTAATGGCTTTGAGCGTTTTCAGTAAATGGATACGTAAACTATTCAGAAGGCTGAATGATATGCGACAACTAACTGTAAAAGCTTTTATTTCATATATTTGATGGACTGTACTCACAACAGGTGTGCAAGAATGAGGCCTTACTTGATCAAACATAGTGTAAGTTGCATTATAATTCCATACGATTTTCGCTTATTAGTTCAGAGATATTAAAATTCAGTGCAAAACAGTATGAAATCTACTACAAATTATGGACCCTCACCGCGAATACACGTAAAGACAGTCATCGTCGACTAACAAATGATTTCCTTTCAACTTTGCTGGTGTATTGGAAAACGTTTTATGAATAATGGTAGACCTAACTGTGACCTGTAATAAGAGGTAGTGCCTCAGTAATATTCGGTAACAGCTGTCAGCACTGATGCCATAAATAGGAACTTGGAATTGATAATATGTGCAACAAAACGATCATCTACTTTCTTGGCGAATAAACTCCATTTGTAAATGCCACTGACGAGCTCAAAGTGTGATAGGACAACTTATTGCAAACTCTCGTTTTAAGTATTTTCATGTAAACGATATATGTGATAGATGTTTCAGAATAATGAACAGTCAAATAAAGAGGAAGAATTGATAGAAATGGATAACAGTAAATGTAGAAGAAGCCCAATAATGAAATATAATTCAGCAGTCACTTTGTATAGTTACATTTTCAATGTTCAATTAACTTGAATTAATGACGTGTCATAGAAAACATATATCAATTTATTCATTATTCTGTTTGTCATTCACTTCTCATAAAAACTTTTTCTTCAGGTCTATACTAAATCTGGTTGTTTTTATTATTATTTACTGGATAGTGATTCAAAATCTGCCCGTTATCACCATGCTTTGGGGGCCATAGGTTAGCTGGCGACACTTGGGCACATTTGTCAACCAAGTTAACTTCATCTTAAATTTTTCTCTTCCAACTTTACTCACTGTGCATAACTGCTAGCTAGCAACTTTATCCTTCCTCTTTCAGGAAGTGATCCATGAAATTATTGAAAGACAGTCATGAAGCTAATTAGGGACTGTCATATGAACTTTAAACAGAACATGCTGATTACGAGTGGATGAAGAAGGATGCCACTGGGGAAAGTGGTTTAGTTTCTGTGAGTGGACTTGTAGTGGACAATATAACTGAGTGTGACAGTTACTTAAGACTAAATCACGTCAATTTTATGTTAGCATCATTAGTGACAGTTATTAAAAGCAGGTGAGACATATTCAGTTAATTTTTGATAATATGAAACTAAGGTAATAAGAGGGCATCCGTTTTCCAATTTTCAACTTCTTAGTAGACATGATAGTTACCTCGTGTGTGATACTTCAAGTAGATCCCAGTAATGTGACAGGCTGTCTTTGAATACAGTTTGTGATGTGCTTTGGAATAACTTTTCTAGAAGTAAACATGGATTAAAGGCTGCTCATGATTGTTAAGTAGAATAGGTTGTCCTTTCTGAAACGTTTCGGAAACTTCTCCACAATGAGAATAAAAGCTTGATCTTCGTTTCCAATCTGCTTTTGTTTGATATCTGAAACGTCTAAAGTTCAGGGATGATGTAAAGTAGTTTCTACACTACCATTACGAAAAATATGAGATATGATTATCTGAATACCATATTTGCAAGCATCTGTACGAACAGCAATCTCTGGATTTGATTTGTATTAGGTGAGTGGCGCATAAGTGCAATGAATATACCCTGCCAAAAGTAAGTTGATACTTCTGTTACACATTCTCAGTAAATGATTCATTATTGTGAGCAGAAAAGCAAGCTCCAGCAATAAAAACTGTAGTAACCTAGGAAAAATAAAGTATAACCAGAGATTAGCAATACAGGATGAAGTTAATTCATCATCCAGGTATATCTTTTGGATCTCGTCAAAGTTCATAATCACAGGAAATAAAACCAAGACATTGTGATGAATTCAAAAAATTGCTCATTTTTCCTCCATCCTCAAACATTTTAGTTTGAAGAGATTCAGGTCAGTCGAAAATTCGGTCTTAACGTAGTGGATAAAAATTAAATCACCGTCAAAGCAGAAGCTGCATGGTGTTTTCGGACTATGGTTTTCACTAACACATTCACTTAACATTCAAGCATTTAAGACAGTACTATTTATGTAGGGCGGTAAAATGAACATTCTGTTATAATTAAAGATTAATGTACACTAATAACTACAATCATAACAATAATCGAAAATCCGAGCGAGACTGACCTCAAATTGTATATAAGAGAAAAAGTAATAGTTAAATAATTCCTTATTGACTAAGACATGCATAATTTTCTCATGACTTAATCTAAAGTAAGGTGAAAACTGCACCCAAACAAGCAAAGATTTAATTCTATTCAGTTTTCAGTGTGTAATAATGCTCAGGTATTCTTTTTTACAAACAAATTTATCAGTTATTCTGAAAAAATACCACCCAGAAACAACAGTGTCTATTAGCTAGAAAATCGAAGATTTGTCATCCTGTTGCCTACTTTTCTGCTCTCAGCAGAACCAACGCATCAAATTCCTTTCCCCATATACATTCGATACTCAATGATTATCTAACGCTTGCTGAAACTTAAATCGAGGTAACCATCTTCAATACAGCATTTAGTAACGATAATAAAATAACCTAGTCAAGTCAATGTTTACATAACTGGCCTCCAAAAAAACAAAAAATCATATACGAACATTTAACTAAGAGTGAGCAGAACATGATTAAGATTATCCATTAGGTAACAACATTTTGTTACACAAAGGAAAAAGATGATGGTGAAATAACTCCTGAGGTTAAATCAGAGAGGTAATACTCATCATCTCTAACCTATGATTCATATTACATGCAAGTTCAGTTGAATGCCTGGAATTTGTATCACCTACTACAGCATCTTGGTTTTCTTGTCATGGTGCGTTCTCAAAGCGATTCGCACTAACTTTGGCTCGTAAGCGATTACAAAACAAAGGAATCCTAAACGCCTATTGTCTTCTTGCATAAGACTCCTCATAAGCGTTGTTTATTCTTCTTTGTTAGTTTGCACTGAACATCCTCATGTCTTATATCAACTTCACTAATGTTCACTTATAAACTTGCAAGACTATCGCTCCTATTCAATAACACCGACAAACTCATGACATAATATCTTCACCATTCAGTATCACCGTTATCCTACGGTTCCCACATCTCATTAACTTAAATCTTCAATCGATTACTTTCCAGTGGTTCTTCAAGATATTTGTATAAAAGTCATCAACCACATTGATTGGTTACTGGACGGTAACCAACTTCATGTTGTCTAGTCCTATGGGCTGGTTGAATTCTATCGATCGGTTTGCAGTGAAAGACGTAATTTTTATGTATTTCTAAGCTCGTCAAGTACTCACAGTAAGATAACCGTTTACTGTAATTACCTCCCGCAGTTTCTGATACCTCTTTAGTTTAACTAGCTACAGTATGTCGGGAAACATAATTTCCTAACAGTCAAAATACAAAATATTTATGTATCTATGCATGTATGCGTGCATGCATGTATCACCGGACATCAAGTTGAAGGACTTAGATACACATATTTGTGTAAGTCGTTCTATACTACGACATTGCTCTCTTGAAATAGTTCATTGAATAAATTAGAATTCAAACAACAAAACATCATCGGGAAATAAAACTTTTAGTCACTCAAGCAATTTTCCCTTCTATGTATCTATATCACTTCTATAAGAGACATCCAATCCATATGTAACTAATACTTACTTTTTATTTTTATTTGCTTGAAAAACAGCGTAGACACTGATGAAGCAACCTAGCCTAGTGAACAGAAATTCAAGATCAAATATCAAACTGTGAAACACACAAAACAATATCATTCTGATTGTACACCAAAAATTTCCTCCGCCACTACGTAAGTCATATTTGTGTAATTGGATGAATAGTCCAGAGGTGAATAGATTGGAGACGATTTTCAACGTGAATTGAGATAATATGTTCAGTATTACCAATTTTTCAATTGTTCCATAGATAAGACAATTCTTTGATGAGAAAAATCTTTCAATCCGTGTTTATCTCCACTGATCAAATACATCTTAGATGCACTTCTAGAGTAAGAAAACACTATCCAAATATTATCTTAACTTCTTTTCAGTTGGAAAAACCTAGTCGAGATGAAATTATGATGATAAAGTTATCTAGCATCGTTTGAAATATCATATGGGCTAATTTGTTTGTCATTAGGTTTTTGGATTGAATCTTACAATTACCGGTTTGATCGTTTATCAATTCCCTCTAGTAAAGTTTTTCATGATTAGAACAAAAACAAACTAAAAATCATTTCAGCCTTACATCAAACGCTAATTTAACGCCTTGTTTATATTATTGTAATAAGCATATCCTAGAAAAAGGATAGTTAGCCGAGCAATTTCAATACGACAATACTACTGTTCGTAGAATTAGATTATTTCGCAAACATTTGAAAAGTGTAATAACACATATTTTATTCTATCAGTCATATTTGTAAGTATCATAACCACTTTTCAACTATCGTTATTGGTTAAAACATTGACAACTAAATTACAAACAAATGTAAATAAACAAAGTAAATGGTAGCGTTTAGGTAAAAGTGCCGACTAACGATTTGATTTTCGCCATTATGAAGTCCTGATGAATTGTACAATGTGGTAGGTTATAAATTATAAAGTATGGAAAATAAGTACGATGTAGCGCAAATAAATGTGTGTCAAGGTGTCTAGATATTCACTAGCATAATTGTCTTATTACATATTATGCAGCTAGGCTACATAAGTTTGTGCTATGCTTATAGTTTCCTAAATGTTACTGAATATTCGCACTACTAGTTGTGAATGGCGAAGCATCTTATTTTCACTATCCAGTATTCCAACTGTAACTAATGGTGTAGTCTTTTACTCCATACAGAAGAAAGTTTATTGATTGCAACGTTTGACTCTGACGATAATGTGCATGACTCTATATCATATGTTTGGCATTCATCGCACATTGGTTATGGTTTTCGTCAACTACTCAAGGACTCAGCATCAAACCGCTTCAGCAGTTTCATTGAGAAACTTGACTGGTGAGTAATCATCATAATGGTCACTTTGGTCGATCCTCATTAACTGGGTTGCACGCATAAAGTAAGGTAATAAAATATCTGACTTACAAGTAGTTAATCGATAACATGAAGAAAAAGCCCACAAATATTTGGCTGGTACTGCCTGTTTAAAGTTATCGCAATATGGCTGCTGTAGTTGCCTTAGATTCTAGTGAAAATAGCCGACCTAAGAAGTTTGTTTGGAAGTTGGAAAGTGAAAACAGGAAGATTGCGAAATTCACTCAGTATCCAGTGAAGTAATCCCATCCAATATATTTCGCGTACTACTGATGCTGTGAGGAAACTTATGATAACGTTGAGTTGTTCTTTCCAAAGTACGGCAAGCTACGGAGCTACTGTGCATCGACTAATTTGCCCTTCAAAAGATTGCTTATTAATATAGGTATAAAACTTGGGCACTGTGGTAGAAATTAATTCCATATTAAATTTGTTTATTTGATTTATAACACACAGTGATACAGTATTATTCACTTGATGACGTTCCGAGCGTAAATTATTGCTCATAATCATATTAATGTAATCACACCACTTTCGACATTTGATTTTCATAGTTACGTCAGTTTATATGAGTTGTTTTTATTGGTAGCAGAATTTTCCATATCTCTGGTATGGGTGTTGCGTCAATTCTATTACATGTGTTGAGTGTTGATTCGACGAACGAAGATTCAGTAATCAATCTCTCTCTCCACCTAATTATATTGGACTTAAGTACAGTGGCTTTATTCCATCCTATTATGTAGTTGTGTGTTAATGCATGCATAGCAGTAGCCGAGTTTTTTCTAGATTATTGACCTTATTTAGGTCTGTTATTCTATATTTAGCTAAATTCCTATGTTCGGTTGTTCGAACTGACCCCGACCAACTTTAAGAAACAATATTACCAACGGTTGTTTTCATTTATTCCAAGACAATTATGTTTAAATTAATCTTTAGAATGTATGCTTCAACCAGTTCCAATACAGCTTCCATTCATTTGCAGAAAGAACTGCCTGGATGTTAACCGATGCCACGATCTTGTCTTAATAACTCAGTTCAACTGAACTAGTTTTTCCGTTTTACCTTTTGTTTATTGTCTAGTTTTTCGGGAGAAAGAATTGAAAATTCATCTATATCAATAGTAATACCTGATTTGAATACATTGGCTCTGTGAGAAAAATATCAGGTAAACTTTACTTCTAATGATACCATGACATTTAATTTTCTAGTATAGATTAAACGATTCAGAGAATAAGTTGCTAGAAATGTGTTGTGAATAAGTGAATAAAAGCTGTGTCAACAAAAATAAATTTTCTGATTCTCATAGATAAAGTCCTACGGTGAAATTTCTTTGATATTTACAACATAAATTTTACTTCACTATGGAAGTATCTAAGGACGATTGGTCGACTAGAAATGTTTTTTTTATCACGTCTGGAAATCAGTGGTTCTCTGACTGACACCAGTCACTTGTGAAAACTCCCATAGAAGGAAGTATACCTCCTTGTAGCCATCCTGAAGTGTCAATGATTATCCGGTGCAACATCACTGAAAGATGTGTATTAATATTATGTAGTTGAAAGCAATCGGTAAGTTGCTTGTTACCACTCATCAGCAATGGAGTATCTTCAATCTCTACGGAATTTATGTTCTGCCTGGGATTCGAACCCGCGTCACATACAGACATATACGTATGCATATAAATATATATTAATATCCTAATAACTATAGTAGCCAGAATATATAAACAAAAACCGACACCGCTTGATTCTATTTCCACTGAATTATTAATGGTAATCCGTTGACCCTAAGACATCTCCACTCATATAATTACTTACAAGCTATTCACATCAAACCTCACTCAACAGATTTATGATGACGTCACATGCCAAGTGATTCACAATGGAAAGCTCAGTGATACCTTTCAAGTGAAGTGAAGACAGGAGTAATACAAGGTTGCACCCTACTATCAACCATCATCTTCCTGATTGTGGTCGACTGAATTATGCAAGAAACTGTGAGGAGAGAGAAGAGGCCTATACACTGACTGCACCAATGACTAGACCCCACAAGAAGATTTGGATTTCGCCAATCATGATTTATGTCTAATGTCGTGGTGTTGCACAAACTCGAAGATCTGCAGACGAAAAGTCACAAGTTGGCAGAAGAGGTGAGGTGAGGTGAGGTGTGGTAGTGAAGGTGGGACTTCCTTCAGGTGAACGTAGAGAAGACAGAGATAGAGGTGATGAAGATACCCAGTCAGCATCAACAACAACAACAAACACCAATCACCATCAATGGGGGAAATCTAAACGAAGTTGTCTCGTTCACACACCTACCTACCTACCTACCTACCTACCTACCTACCTACCTACCTACCTACCTAGTCAGCACCGTTTCAACTACAGGCAGCGGCATAGGCACAGATGAGGACATCAAAGCCAGTCAGAATCGGAAAGATGGTAAGACAGGTCTTCATTAATCTGAAATATTTAGCGTGGAGATCCACTGCACCGCACTGCACTGCACTCAGTATAAAGCGTGAACGACATCTGGTTTTTCAACACCAACATCAAGTCAGTGCTCCTATATGGTTCACAGGCCTCTGGTCTAGCAACAAACCAACCAAGAATCATCTCGTCCAACAAATGTGCAGAGGAAGGAGGTGGAGATGGATTGGAGTTTGCATACACTGAGAAAACCATTCGGAGACATCACGCATCAGACTAGGCCAGGTCGTCGAATGGGACCAGCAAGAGGAACGACGAGCTGGGCATCCGAAGCGAGGATGACATAGAAGAGGTGGTGTGAGGAAGAAATGAAAGGTTGTTTAGAGTCGTAGTGCCAGGTTGAAAAGAGTGGAGAGAAGAGAGTGAAATGGAGACGGGCTACTGAATCCCTATGTTCCGCTAGGAACCCAGGAGACAAATAATAATAATATTCATATAAGCCAACTGTACTCTTTGAAGTCTATCAGTCCGAGCAGATTACTGATAATTTTGACGTAGACAAACCAAATGACAGTCTAGTATTTTGGTTGGCTTAGTCTATACAGTGACTACGAGACAATGATGTGAAGAGTTTCCTACTACTCATTCAGTTACCATTAAATATAATACACTTCACTGCTTAATTTCTTGACGCTCAGTGAAGCTATGAGTCGTTGGTCTAAGAACTTAATTATCAACCGATAGGTTACAGGTTGGCTCCTCGCTCCGCTTACTGAGATTTGGTAATTAGGTAGTATCATTAACCTTCACACAAAGGGTGTGAGTAATTGTGTACTGCGAAAATCTTCACACGGTTGTTGAATGCATTGCGATTTTTGATCCTCAGTAGATCAAAATATCTGTTCTGAACAATCCAGTTTCAAAAGGAAATCATGTTTGAATTTCATAGTTGGAATACATTTAGTTATCATATTCTCACTACTTATAGAAAGTCATGAGAACATTTACTCTGATCGGTCAGTCTGTCTTCTACTTTCATTAACTTAAACATACACAATCTATTTACAAAGCTGGAACACCAACTAATCAGAGTTAGAAGTACAAACTCAACTGAAGGGACTAAGTATACATAATTTGCGAAACGTTATTAACATTTAGATTGTCTTGATAAGAAAGAATAAAGGTTGCAAATTATGGCTGTTTTTGGTTTAATATACATCTGGTTAATTAATAACATTTTCATCTTCACAATTCCTAGGTGACATTTCATCGATCGTATAAAAATTAAGAATGCTAATTTCAGCATTCTCTGGCAGTTTCAGAGCTCTCTGACCTTACATCCCGAATTTCTAGTAAGGACATCTTGAACTTAGAGGACAGTCAAAATACCAAAACGTTTACAACAAAAGCTGCAGGTTTTTAAAACTATACCAAAACTGGACTTTAAGGTATTTCTTATAGGCTCTTTGTGGGATATCAAAAGACAAACAATTCTACAAAGAAATCGCTTCCCAGGGAAACTGTTCTCAGGTTATACATTAGTATATGAATAAAACATATATATATGCATATCAGTAAATTAACAATACCCTGATAGCTACCCGTGTTTAGCAGTCTGAATAATAGTCAAACGAGTTTACTTAAGCCTTACTTTTGAAACACCTAGTCCCTTTGGTGAAGTTGCATAGTGTAACCAGAAGATGGAAGTTATGTGAGAAATGTGATGTATTCCCGTAATACATTTCGAGCAGTCTGGTCACATATTTACTTGTCAAGGCAATTTATATAAAGGATGAGAACAGGGTGGGGTAAGATAAATAAAGTAATGTGAAATAAGATGTGGAAAATATTGGGATAATAAGGAGGAATAATACATTTTCACACCTCCCTTGGCATTGGAATGAGATAAAGATTACCAAGGTAAGTTTATGGTAAGCATAATTTTTTTTGAATGCACAAAGGGGTTTGAACTTTAGTATGGCTAAGTGTACCGCCTTGATGGCTCCTAAACAATGGTCTTAAGGCTATTTTTGGGTCAATCGTGTGACATGTTTCTATAACCTGTTTACTTGTCGACGATGATGTCTATCTGTCCCCAGCGTTTATCGAATTATTTTTATGCAGTTGTTTTTCTAGTCATTTAAGGATATTCTGTACCACTCTTGACTTCATATTTCGAGTACCCCTCCTAATCTATATTTCACCGCACACACATGTAAATTTACATACAAAGCGGGATGTGATGTAATCATCTATGTAGTGGTGGGGTTTATTCTGAAGCATAGGTTTCATTTTCTCGATAATATTGAGCTTGGCTGCGTAGTATGTCTTCCTGGTACCTGAATTAAGTCTTCGTCTTAGAATCATGCTGTTTGGTTCCCCTCTTATACGGTAGCGTGATGCAAGCATTCTTCTTCCGGACAGAACACTTATTAGTTCGCACTCCTGAAACGTTTTTAATACGACTGGTGAACTGCAGGGGAAATGCGTTTTTAAATGAATGCCAAGGGAGGTGTGAAAATGTATTATTCCTCCTTATTATCCCAATATTTTCCACATCTTATTTCACATTACTTTATTTATCTTACCCCACCCTGTCCTCATCCTTTATATAAAATGCCTTGACAAGTAAATATGTGATCAGGCTGCTGAAAATGTATTCTCAGATAACTTCCTTCTTCTTGTTACAAAGTCTTACTTCCACCAACTTTGTTTTTCCTTGATAAATTTATCGAATGACCACTAAAGCAAGCGCACACTGATTTTATCTTTTATCGAAAGAACATATCGTTCATATCTAGGGCTTCTCCATGACTGACATCACTCAGTAGCATTCGGTCAAAAAACGTAATTAGCCATTCTGATTTGTCTGAAAAGACACCTTTCTGTGGAGAGTCCAAGTGTAAATCCGTAAATATTCGTCTTCCACTTGACACATTGACAACTTTACCTCATTCAGTGGTTACTTACAGAGAACAAAGCGGTTTATGGAACTAGGTGCATCAGTTATCTGGTTCAGATTGTTATCAGGATCATCAAACTGCTAGAAATGAGTAGTTTTCTATCACATCTCATACTCCATAGACAAACCCTTTCTTCTCACAGTGGTTTCCTATAAGATTTATTATCATTTTTTCCGACGCCTTTTGAGTTGTGATTCATGACAGTAAAACAGTTTGTCATTATAGATTTATCATCGCAAAATACTAGTTTTATGGGTTATTACAACCACTATAATTGACTGATACGGCAAAAAGCCAATGGAATTATACCAGTAAACAATTTACAATTGTGCATGGGGTAGTTTCATAAGTGTATGCGTAGTTTACTAATGACGTTGAATTTTAATCATCACTTTTATCTGCCACATAAAATAGCAATAATACACAGTGAGACAGGTAGATATTTAGCTGTTTTAGTCAGTGCTGCGATTCATAAGTTTTGGTTTCTGTTTATGTCACTATCTCCAGCATTCTTCACAACATAGAGCACAATTTGATCGCTTATAAAGTTTCCCTGAGATATGAATCAACTTTCAAACTAGTAGTAAAAACTCCAGGGATGAGACTCACGTCGCTCTTCCACTTATTTAGCCAGCAGAAATAAGTTATCACAAAAAAAAAGTTGACTTCAAATAAACTAGCCAAACCATTTGAAGAATCTCCTTGCTGCATGTTTTCTGTGGTAGCACATAGTGATTGGAAAATGTGGGTAGAGTATATTA